CCAATATGATATGTGGTCTAGTTCACTTAATATACTATATCCCAACAATTTGAAACTACCGTCACCCGCATATCTTTTAAAGAAACTACACGATTCGGCTGAATCATATATGCTCACTTTCCATGTAAGGAGATCCAAATCAGTCAAATACCAATACATGTGCGGTATGTTGATGGGAATTAAAACCTTCAAAAAATGATAAGTTATTAGATATATACATATTTTAATTTATATATATATATATATATATATATATATATATATATATATATATATAAATTTAATATTATATGATATATATAGATAAATATACTAACCTGATCAATATCCTTCCAATGTGGTCCATCAACCATCCCGGCTACTACACGCCTCAAATAATGTTTTTTCCCAGGTTCCAAAGTCGTGCCTTCAGGATTAATAATCGTCCACCTACCGGTCGACAAATTTATTTCCTTGAGCAGGGACGTCCAGATAACCAAATGTTGCGTGTTAGAAATTTGTACAATTAATTATCCAACACTTTTTGTAATATAAAATAAGGGATGTGTGTTACCTTAGAGAGCAACCATCCAGAGCCAATACCAGGTAAACTTGACCAAAATTCCCAATTCATCTCAGTACCTCTTAAAAGTCTATGCTCCAAAAATACCGCTCCCATGTTCTTTCCCCACAATTTCCAAAATTCATCATCACTATCTGCATAACCTTCCAATAGTAATGGTCTTTTTTCTACATTATTGGACTTCTGCTGTTTTTTCCCTTTTTATGTTCTTTAATGGTTCCGTCGACAGAACCTACAAAATCAATATGTTAATTAATTTGGAACGATTATATACTATATAAATAGAAATTACTTAATTTTATACCTGTGTGTAAGGCTCCCTACAAAATTTCGATTCATTTTTACCCGCCCTTTTAACGGTGTAACTGTGTTATCCTTATTTACAACAATAAGCGGTGGCGTCTGCACATACGTATGGCCTGACTCGGGATCCAAACCACGAAAAAAATGCTTCCCCCGCATCCACATTTTCCATATCGTTCACACCAAATTGTTTATCTTTTTCCCAATTATCCATTCTCTTCCCAAAGTTCTCGATTGTGGTTTTCAATTGAGTAACAACGCCCAATAACTTGTCTATTTTACTTTCTTCTGGAGGTATGTGGTATGTTTCCTGAAAATGATAGGCTGAGGTGTAATCTGCTCCCCGAAAATGAGAGCCTAAGGTGTAGTCTTCTCCCTAAAACTGAGACGGGTGAGGTGATGGAGACTGCTGCTTAGGAGGACTCTGTTGTTGCGGTGATGGAGACCGCTCCTTAGGAGGACCCTGTTGTTGCAGTAGCGACTGCACTTTGTCTAGAGTCCAATTTATATAACGCAGAAAGAATGGCAAATGGATCTCAACAGGCGTTGGTTCAAAAACACGTGGGATGTTATTTTCCTGCAAAATTAAAAAATTAAATTTAAGTATATAAAATTGTTGTAATTTTTAATTATATATAATTAATATAAGGAATGTATAACTATACCACTGAAACGTCTAATATACGTAAACATTGCTCGACAGATAATTGTGTTTTTATTCTCCATGCCCTCATTCTTGGAATTTCATTTTCTCTGTGATGCGCAAACCTCAAAGCTTCTGGAAATATCTCCAAAATCCATACCTAGTATTACGACAAAAAATTATGCTTTGTCCAAACTTATAAGCACTTAAAAAATATAAGTAATTGCACCTAAAACTAACCTTAAACGGAAGCTAAAAACCGGTCACCGTATGCTTCATCATCTTCGTGTAACCCACACTCTTATTATCTCGTAAATATCTATAGATTTTACCAAACCAGAATCGTAATTGTGTTTTACTATACCTCCACAAATACGTACCCCACGCAAACTTGTAGTACTCATTATAATTAATATAAATAATCAAGTATTTATAAATAAATAATAAATAATAAATTTAATACATGTTCCAATTATATTGACTATCGGCTAGCTCATATACTGTCGGCGGAATGCACGTATTGCCGTCTCGTCCTATGAGACCCCTCAACAAAAACATCATTTGCATAACCATTACCGTATCCTCATCGCTACACGTCGAGAATGTTGGCCATTTTATGTAGTCTTCTTTCAGCCGTAAATCTTCATCTCACACATTAGGGAACAACCGATTCCTTAATGCTGAACTTGTGCTGACTTCTGTATTTATTATATCAACATACGGTCAAAATCTCAAACCGTCAATCAAACAAAATTCCGTTTCACCATATTCGACCACCCTACCTTGTAACTCGAACCGAAACTTCCCAGCCGGGGCTACCTATTCGGGGTGGGCATACCAATGAAGATCCTAAAAGCTGTCTCTCGAAATAATTCAACTCGCCTACTATTTAGTTTTGTAATGTACTTTTTCAACACAGTCTCCAACGCCCCTTTAAAAGTACATTCTGCAGGCCATACACGCAAATTATGCTGCAAAAGATTAAACATATATGTCAAAATTAAAAAATAATACTGAAAAGTAACTTTAAATAGCATTGTACTTTTATTTTTATAGCATTGTACTTATATATATTGTTTTTTAACAGTTTTATGCAACAAAGATAATGTTTTTATTCTATAACTTTTTATACAATGGTCTATGTGAATAATAATCTTTCAAAATAAATTGTCCATTTTTTATAACAAATTTACAAAATTTTACAGAAATGATCTCATATATATTATAAAATTTACATAAATGGTCCATTTTAATAATGATTATAGAAATTTTCAATGTTTTTTTTTTAAATTACAGAAATACTTGCAAATCGATTTTAATATTAATTTACATATAATCAACATAAAATGATCTCAATATTCAATGGTCCATTTTAAGAGATAATAATTATAGAAAATCGAAAAAAAAAAAACAAAAAAATACATTTCCGCAGAGGCATATATCGTTTTGCAGAGGACTCCTCTGCGGATCTGTTCTTGAGCAGAGGACCTCTACGGATCTGTTCATGACGAAAAGAATAGGATAAATCGATTTCTTATTTCACAAACTTCAATCCTTACACCCTAACAAACATACATGTTTATATATAACATTTAACATATCAATTTCCAATTCATATAATCAATTTCTACTTCCGAGTTTCTACAAAGATTAGGAAAAAAAATTGAAATATTACTTGAGTTCCATATCCATCGGATAACACATCGGAGTGCAGTTGCTCCACGAATTAAGCTCGCCGCGATATTTTTGTGTCCGTTCCGATCATAGTCCGACGTCCGTAGCTTCCTTCCGCCCTATCTTCTTTCCGCGTTCGAGTAAGGAGGAAAGGGTAATTTTTGGGCGATTTTACCGTAATGCCCCTGATCCTCGGAGCAATAAAGAATCAGCAGAGGTGTTTATGGTTCCGTAGAACCCCCTCTGCGGAACTTTTGGTCATATTCCGAATTCCTCATTTCCGTGGTCATTTTTTTCAAAGAACCCCTCAATTTTAGTTATTTACTGAATTTTCTCTTTTTAATTATATTCTACTTCTTCCAATGATTATATTTTCCAAAGTTTATTCATTTGAATCATCTTTTCAAACGTTTTACACTTCTTAAAATAATGGTATATTTTTTATCTCATCAAAATCAACTCATAAGATCATCAAATTAATACCGGAGTGTTGTTGACACCCAACTTAATTTCACAAAAGTGGTCTTGAAACCAAAACTGATGGTTCCTGAACCATAAATGATAATGTTTTTTTGGATCTTGGAATCGGTAAAAAATTAATGAAAATCGATTCCAATAGCGGTTATACATTTTAAAAAACTTCAAACTCATTTCTAGTTAAACATTGATAAAAATACCCAAGAAATTATTTTATGTATGTATAAAATGTTCCTTTGAATTTACAGAGAAAAACTATTATCTTTGTTTCTTTACTGAGGCGATATGAGATTAACCATTTAGACTTGTTTCTTCACACGTTTCACATCACATGCGAGTTGGAAAAGAATGCAATAAAGAAACCCATGAAAAAGAAAGACAGTCACAAAACGAATGAAAACCGTTTCCAATAGCCGTAGAATGTTCCTTTAAATTTATAGAGAAAAAAAATATTATCTTTGTTTCCTTAATGAGGCGATATAAGATGAATACTTTACACTTGATTTATCACACATTTCACATCAGATGCGAGTTGGAAAAGAATGAAGTAAAGAAACCAATGAAATAGAAGGAAGACATCGCTTCCCACAAGCACCACTTTAGCTTGTTACCCAAAACGTAATGAATAAAATCACATTTACCGAGAATTTAAAACTTGAAATTACGATTAACAGACACTCGATTGGTATCAATTCCATAATACCACAAGTCCTATTTATTATTGAGTTTTATACTTCAAACGACTCGACTCACTGTAAATCATAAGTGATATTTGCAATTTTGACTCAACCCAATTACCTAGAGTGAGCCAAATTGGGTTACATGTTCTAAATGTGAAAGTGCATTTTCATAATTATATCCATGATTGATGGAATCTCAAAAAGTTCACATTACAATAACTTAACTAAGTGTATTTACTTATTTATATCATGGAATCTCAAAAAGTTCACATTACAATAAGTTAACTATTTTTTAAAATATATCAACTAATATTACCGTACAATTTTATTCTTCCTCGTAACAAATAATAAATAATACCAATACATACATTTTTCACCGAGTCAAGATTGTACACAATATTATATTATTGACATCTAAGAACATTGTGCCAATGAAGTCGGTAATTTTTGGATTATATATTTAATAATCATTAAATTTTCATTGCCAGTGCCAACTTAAAAGCTTTGTCAAACAAAGACAAAAAAGTGATCATTTATTTATTTATTTAAATATTAAACATGAGATAATTTGATACTGAGCATATCTGATTTGGGTCTTTCTCTCCAACATTAAATAATTAAATAAAAACAAAAACATGTTAGTTCATACTTCATAGTTATAAGGAGTTTGACATTAAATTCCATGGTCAAGAAGAGAACACAACTTTCCTTCCCTCCCCTTTTTCTGGTGCCACATTTCTCAACTCATTATGTGAGTCTTTGATTTTTACTCTCGGAAAATTCCTACTATGTTTAACGATTTAATGTCTTTTTCGATTGAATGCAAAGATTGGGAAGATTGAACTCAATAACCTTCTGTTTTTTTTTATTCAAATCATAAATATCATCTGGACGGGATATTTTTGGGAATTTTAGGTGATTTTCCAATGTCGATGAGTTCAAGTCTCTATCAGGAAATCACATTACGATTCTTCCCGGCCACCCATATTCAATTTTTTGAAAAAGTTCATGTTTTTTTTGGATAATTTGTCAATTTAGCAGTACTTTTAGGAACAGAGGATCAGTAATTCAGTATTCATCGATCATCGATCGTCTTCGTTTTAATGAGACTTTCTTCATCGAAAATCTTTCTTGGGTTTTGAATTTACAGAGTTTCATCATCTGGGGTTTCTCTTGATTTCTTCAATGGTGGCCTCCGCCGTCGCTTCCCCACTCTGTACATGGTTAGTGGCAGCTTACATCTCTGTTTCCGGCGAGAAAACCAACCACCGTCCCAACTCCTCGCCGGCGCTCCTTTCTTCCTCAAAAAGACTCAGTCGGTCAGCTAGAAGAAAGCTGACGGCGGTGACAGACGTCAAGAATTTCTCCGGCGGTTGTGGATTGATGTCATCGTTATGCGGGTCTAGTATTACGAACCTGATGACTTCATTGGAGCCCTGTGAGGAGTATTATAAATCTAAACCGCTGTCCTCTTCTTTCTCTATATTGGGTTCTGAAAATTCCTTCTTCATTTTCGGTTTGAAGAATTCTCCCCCCTCCTCCATGAATCGCACCCAAAAACGAATTGACCGAACTGCCCAAACCGGTAATTTAATTCCTATGATTTAGTTAAGGTTCTTACTGAATTGGGTTATCAAAAAGTTAAAATCTTTGATAGAATCCACAAGATACGATGCGAATATCTTCGAGTTTACCAATGGATTCTTTTTTTCGTAGGTAAAAGTAAAACCATCGCGATTGCTATACAACCTTCAAAAGAATCAGCAACTAAGAAAAAACCCATCACCAAGAACAGAAGAGTTGTCGTCACCGGACTTGGTGTGGTATCTCCGGTGGGTGATGTTGCCGATGTCTTCTATCAAAACTTACTCGAGGGTGTTAGTGGGATAAGTGAGATCGAAGCTTTCAATTGCGATCAGTTTCCCACTGTAAGTATATATATTTTAAGTTTTTAACCATTTTTTGTTGCAATCGAGTAGCATTTATTAATTGATTTCGACTTGATTACAGAAAATTGCGGGAGAAATCAAGTCATTTTCAGCTGACGGATGGGTTGCACCAAAACTTTCAAAACGAGCAGATAAGTTTATGCTTTACTTGCTGACAGCTGGCAAGAAGGCATTGGAAGATGGTGGTGTTACTAAAGATGTCATGAAAGATTTAGATGTCACAAAATGTGGTGTAATCATTGGTTCTGCTCTTGGAGGCATGAAGGTGACAGTTTCTTTGTTGGACCCAATAAACTGTCTGAATGACTAGTCTTATTCGACTACTATTTGAACAGATATTTCAAGATGGAATTGAAGCATTGATGGTTTCATACAAGAAGATGAATCCATTTTGTGTACCATTTGCAACAACCAACATGGGATCCGCAATTCTTGCAATGGATTTGGTAATCATTAAAAAAAAAAAAAAAAAAAAAAAAAAAAAAAAAAAAAAACGTGTCATGCTCATGAAGGAATATGAAGTTGTGGACTTATGTATGGTTGATTTGTAGGGGTGGATGGGACCAAATTATTCGATTTCTACAGCTTGTGCTACGAGTAACTTTTGTATACTAAATGCAGCTAATCATATTACCAGAGGTGAAAGTGTAAGCATCAAAAAAAAAAAAAAAAATCCTCAACTTGTTTCATTATAAGCCATGGACTTAGTAGTTGAAATCTTGCAGGATATGATGTTATGTGGTGGTTCAGATTCAGCCATAATTCCTATAGGTATTATACAATATACATGTCTATTTTTTTTTATTTTTTTTTATTTTTTTGTTACAATTGGAGCTATTGATCCATTTTGTATGGATTATATCTTGCAATGATTCGATAATTATATAGGGCTTGGAGGGTTTGTTGCTTGCAATTCTCTTTCACAAAGGAATAGTGATCCAAAAAGAGCGTCACGACCTTGGGACGTGGTATGAATTATGAATAATCAAATTAACATGAAACCTAATTTCGTCTTTTTAACGCAACACCATTTTTGTTGAGCAGAGTCGTGATGGATTTGTAATGGGAGAAGGTGCTGGTGTTCTTCTTCTAGAAGAGCTAGAACATGCTAAGGTAATATATATATATATATATATATATATATATATATATATATATATATATTGATTCTAGTTTCTTGATAAAATGATTTTGCAACTCAAATGAAAATGCGTGTTGGCAGGCGAGAGGTGCAAAGATTTATGCCGAATTCTTGGGCGGAAGCTTCACTAGTGATGCTTACCACATGACCGAATCTCGTCCCGATGGTAAGTGTCAGTGTCCCACATATGTTCGACACAATGTGTCACTGTCACTGTCACTGCCTTATCTATCTGAGTCTTGTCACTGTCTCTGTCTTATCTGAGTCTTATCTCTCTGTCTCTGTCTCTATATATGTTGGAGTCTTCCCACTCTCCTTAGGTCTATTCACAGGAAAAATCTAGGTCTTCACGTATCTAACAAACATATGGTATCATTACATGGTGTGTTAGTGTCCCACATTGATTGACATTCTATATATGTGGGAATATACCCTTTTCACATCAAGGGCACTTTTGTTGAGAAAATCTAGGACTACATATATCTAACTAATAGTAAGTTTATGAGTTCGTTGATCTCTTGTTTTTCTTGAACTAACCGATAATTTACTTGTTTTGTTTACGGGAAATTAGGGACAGGAATAGCTTTGTGCATAGAAAAGGCGTTGACTCAATCTGGGGTTGCTAGAGAAGATGTAAATTACATAAATGCCCATGCTACATCTACGCCATCTGGTGATCTACACGAATATGAAGCTATCATGCGTTCTTTTGGGGACAATTCTGAGGTAAATTTGATTTAAATTAGATACCTTAATTGAATCAGTTCTAATCCGCTTTTCTGAATTTTGTAGTTGAAAATAAACTCCACGAAATCGATAATTGGTCACTTGCTTGGGGCTGCTGGAGCTGTTGAAGCAATTGCTACTGTTAAGGTAATGGAACTATAACTATAAGTAAAGTAACTTTGGAATGCTTAAAAAAACAAATAAAACTAATATAAACTGTTATGTAGGCAATTCAAACAGGATGGCTACACCCGAACATGAATTTGGAGAACCCAGATGTGGGTGTGGTATGTAGTCACCTTCTTTTTTCAGTCATTGAAATGATGTTTAAGACATGTATTTTGCTATTTAATGCAATGAAATGGTTGTGGAATTAGGATAAAAACGTGTTGGTTGGTGCAAAGAAGGAACAATGGAATATAAAGGTGGCACTATCCAACTCATTCGGCTTTGGAGGACATAATTCATCCATCGTATTCGCCCCTTACAAGGATCAGTAACTGCAACAAACATCGCTCCCGTTTCTTGTGTAATTAATATACACCTCTTGTTGCATGAGATACAAGTTAATATAAGATTAAATTAGATATTCCATTCCATGGCACATTTATTTTGCCAAATGGACGGAATTGTATTTAGTTGAAAATTTTCAGATTTCTTCATTCATGGAATTTAGTATTCCTTCCAAGATAGGAAGGAATCTAATTCCTTTCATGTTGGGGTTTATTGGGGCAAACATACATTATACGCAGTGGAAATAACAGAATGTACCCTTCGAGCTGGGATTATTGCACCGATATAAGTCATAGAATATACCATTACAATGTGTATGAGTGTGTAGTTGCAATCTAGCCATTCTAGTTGTGCGACTCTTTAGGTTCAACTGGCGTTGAGAGCAACATCATTTTATTTTGTCCTAGGCACATATTTTAACATTCTCTCACTTGTGCAATACATAACAATCAAACGGACATTACGAGTGAGCAAAGAGCATCATCTATCGATAAATCGTTGCTCCTCAATTCAAATGAAATAACCAACTATGACATTTTCATCATCGAACACATTATATCTATACTAAATACCAAGTCGGTGGACTTTGCTCTTTAGTAATTTTGGTCACTGACTTTTGTGGTTTGGCAACTTAAGTCCTTCCAAGTTTCTATTTGGTCCCTGATTTTTTTGGTTTCGCAACTTATGTCCTCTTAAGTTTCTATTGCTACCAAAAGAGTTCCTTTTACTTTCTATTGGCTGGCTTTGATCCCTGACATATGTTGTTTGGCAACTCAAGTACTTCCAAGTTTCTATTTGGTCCTTGACTTTTGTGGTTTGGCGACTTATGTCTTTTTAAGTTTTTATTTCTACCGAAATAGTTCCTTTTACTTTCTATTATTACTTCTTAAGTCCATTACTTCATAAATTCATTCTGTCGGCTCCTACTTCATCCGCTTCCTCTCACCGTGATACCTTTTACCTCCTTAACACCTCATGCTTCGATCTTTACAACCACGATTAATATAAAAATTCATTTGTTTACTTTTTAATTTTGTCTGTTTACTTCCAAAGCACACATACATCTTCATCTTCACTTGTAAAAATGAAGAATCACTTTAAATTAAAGATCTCCACCCCCTCCCCTCACTGCTTCCTCATCTAGTTCTAAATGCAGTTTGTAAAGTTGTAGCATTCGAGATGATATGTTGTTATCTAGGGCATATGCCCAATATTTGTGTTTTCCAACAATACTTTTGTGTCTATGCAACTACTAAAAAATTATTACACCTTTTGTTAGAATGGAAGTCGACAACTTGTTTAGGAACTAAAAACTTCGGTCAAGCATTAGAAGGAATCTTGTGGGTCAGTACCCGTGATCTTTGGTGGTTAATAATATAGTGCATACCCTTCTTGGAGATAATATCACTATTTCTCAGGAGTTAAACTGATATGTTGTTGCAGAAGATTTGAGGAACAGGTTCTTGTTAGGGATGGATTAAGTATGTCATGGAAGATGGAAGGAAAGATGTTAGAAGTTTTTTTTGTTGATTTGGATGGTAATTGTTCTTTACTTCTTTTCTTTTGGTTTTATTTTCGATTCAACAATGTTGTTTTATGTATTTTATTAATCTACAATCAGGTCAACCTTATGATGTGTCATTTATGGATGTTCTTGCCAAGAATATAAAGCCAAACTTGAACATCTAGAAGTTCCTGTTGGGTTAGGTGTCTAAGGTCATAACTGAATTGATATAACTTTATGGAGCAAAAGCAAAGTCTTTTTTGGATTTCCCTCAATAACTACAATTAGCTAGGAACAACTTTAGGAGAATGAGGAAATGGTTTGTTAATTTATTATATGATTAATAAATTAGTTAGAAATGGTTAAGAATTAATTTACAATTAATCAGAATTAGATGAAATTTAATTTTGGATTAATTAGAATTAATAAAAGGTGCAAGGGTTGAATTGTAATTGTTTAATTATTGTTAAGCAAGGAAGGCTAGAACCCTCCATGGGTTGGATGGTTTTAGAGGGGTTCCAGAAGGGTTCTCAAAGTCTCCTGGTAGCTGATAAGGATAAGGACTTGAATAGATTAAATTTGAATACTTAATTATTCAAATTTGGGTTGACCCTGGAGATCCACCAGCTATAAATAGAGACCCTAAGCCTCACAAAATCAGATCCTACACATACACATAAGAGAAATCGGATTTCCTCCTCCCACTGCTCTCCAAATCTTTCCTAGGGTTTCTAAGATATTGGGGGTGAGCCATAGGGACATCCACATTATTAGTGCTAGCTTTCCAAAGAAGACTTGAAGATCAAGGATTGAGTATCTTGATAATACTTAAAGGTATGTACTCTAATCTTTGTGATTTTCGACAATACCTAGATTAGATCTTTAGTTTCATAGTATGTTGCTATAAAGAGAAAATACCATAGATCTCTACGTTGCATGTGCCCATAAAATAGTTTTATGATTTCTCTAATTAAATCTTTTGTTTTTGTAACCTAGAAAAACCATCAGTTCCTTTGGTTGATTTGGTTGCTCACGCCTTCCCCTATAGAAATCCTACTATGAAGGCTAAAATAGAGGTGATACAAACTTCTATGCAGAGGCGAAAGGTCGAGGCTTGATTGAGGATCCTGTAGCAAAAGCATGGATGACTGGGAACAACATTCTTTGTTAGAATTTTAAGGGTATAAATAACAATAACTTGGATAATCTCGTGAATCATGTTTTGGAAGTCACTTTATGAAATCTATAATTTAACCCTTATTCCTGGGGTCACACGAATGTAGATTCATGGAATATTTCAAGAGATCAAATCAGATTTTAGGATCAATCTGATTTACAAACAAAGAATACCTTTATAAGTCTTAATTTATCACTAGAAAAGACTATGATGTGTGTAGTCAACATCCAAAACCGTTTTCCTGTTTATACTATACTATCGCAATACAATATGCGACTATTCTTTTATCCACCTTAAATGGATCTAAATATGCTTTATATATCTTAGTTTTAAACTTAGACAATATTACAATCCTTGAAATCAATTTCCAATACAAACTCTATTTAGACAACACTGTCATAATTCAGTGTATAAATCTAACATAAAGTATCAGGTATTTAATACGCATTAATCTTTTTAAGTAATAATACATGTCTTAAGATTATCATGTAATAATACCATATGTATACTTAACACGTATATAACCATATCTGGTTCAAACAATGCATTCTATCAAATATTTGTTTGACGCATATTCCACATAATAAGCAATTCATTCACGTAAAAACTTTCAACATATATTTAATACTTTTAATAAATACTTGTATTAAAATCATGTTCATGAAAGTAACTATGCACTCACCTGATAAAGGTGGAAGACTTGCGGGAAAGTTAGCTCTTTGACTGACACTTAAGATTTCCCTTTAAAATGACCTAAACATGAATATTACTAAGTCTTAGTATTTGTTTTTATTTATAAAGTTTAATCATTATAATGTTTTTTCTCAGATTTATCAATAACCCCAAAAGAAATACTGACTTATAGCTGATAAGAAACAACCATGTAAGATCGTATCGGAGATATGATCCGTTTGACATATAAATATATACTGTTTGGAATATCCACTCTAAACACCTCACAAATCTGGTCAAGACATCATTCTCGTAAGTAGATCGATCAGTATAACGACTGATATTACTAATAAATCTTATTTCTAAGTTCACAATAACAACTATGAACATAAATATAAGTTGTACTTAAAGCGTAGTAAGTGGAACTTAACTTACCGGGTTTTCTGAGAGAAGTTCAGAAAGTTCGTGGGCAGAACTTCGACTCTGAAAACTTCTTTTCATCGACTCTTTGACATCGCAAAACCTCGTTAAAGTACTCTAAAAGCTAAGAAGAATCGAACATGAAAGAAAGGGAATTTCTAGAGAGAATTTGAAGAAAATATGAGCAACAAATGAACAAAATCATACTTGTATTTATAGGGATCTGGACACCGGCCTTGTCACGCCTTTTAGCGGGTATGTCGCGTCCCTGGACTAGGCCCCACTTTTTTTTCCGTATCTTCTGCATACCAGCTTTGTTTTTGACTTTCTTTATATATCTCACTTCGTATCAACAAGTACTACAACTTTCTTTTAGATTACACCGACTAATTCTCATTCTATCTCAAATTTACAAATCTGTATCGAATTCGCCACGTTTGAAGAGTAGGGACCAAGTTTCGTCCATATCTTTCGCATACGAACCCCGTTCTCGACGGTCTCTATATCAACGGCTTCGTAATTTCATAGACATCAACTTTCATTAAGATAGTTTTGTCTAACGAGCTTACGGTTTAATGTTTAAATTGTTTCGGGTTTTTCTTATATTGAAGGAAGGGCACGACTTGATTGCATCGCATCTATTGGAGATTTAGGCACTTCATAACTTTTATGTCTAATATTTGATAAATGTTTTAGACCAATGGGTTCATGTAGATCTTTGAAGTTGTAATTGTAATAAATGTTTTTGTTTTGAAATTACTTGGAATCTGATCGCCTTTTGGAACAATGAATGAACGATTTTAACTTATTTATAAATGAAATTTTTACTCGGTATTTTTGGGACTTTACAAGTTGGTATCAGAGCCTTGGTTTGAGGGATTCGGGCATACTCTCAGGTATGTTTGAACTCAAACTGAGGAGTTGGTATTCTTTTGAAAGAAAATAAGTTTCTAAATAGATTTGTGTAAATAAAATAAGTTTATGAAAAAAATTTATAAAGAAAAAGGGGGTGTGATGCGTGCAATCAGTCGAGCTCAAGTAAGTGATTCCCATAATACTCATACATATTGATATGATATATGATACAAATGTTTACATGCTAGGATAAGGATAGCGATACTTTCAGGAATTGCTAGATAGATTGGCCTGAATGTGATGCCTTGTAGCCTAGGAAGCATTGGATGCTATGATTGAGAATATGTATTGGTAACAGTAATTGTTAAGTGTATGCTTTAAAAATTGTATACGGTTAGGATCATATAGCCCTAGAATGACTGATTTGGCATTATTTCATGTACCTTGTCTGGTTGTGGTCCTAGGGTAGAATCTTTTATTCGACAGTCTATTTGATCCTGTATTGTGTATAATTTGCATGCATAAGGCAACTAGAAGTGAGAGTAGAAGTTCCTAACATGGTGGTAGCAAGTGAGTGTGGGATGCCTTCTGTTTGTTTTATGGCTTGGAGTGTTACTGCTCGAATGCTGCTTGCTTTGTTCTTTGTGGGACCCATATTGAGGTAAGCTAA